AATCCAGAGAAGCTGAAAAATCTAGTTTCTGATGTAGTTCATTTTCTAACATCTATACCTACATATTCTCAGAATTTGGATAAGAGGGAGCTAGATCTTCTAGAAGAAGTTGCAATAGTTAGAAGTTCTCCTAAATAGGGCTATAGATGCGTACTGAGACAACTTCATTTCCTAAATTTAGATTCATCCCTCTGTCTTACAAAAAAAATAAAGGAAAAATGTTGAGTTAATTCCCCGGACTATCACGACAGTACGAATTACCCCCCTGAACCACAAAACCAGACATTTTAAACCTCAAACTATTTATACTGAACACATTACACCTGGTCCAATCCGGAGCGGTTTTGGTCCTATGTGGTGTACATGTAATGCCAACATGGCAATGCAATCAAGAAAAAAAAAACATGGACCCATATATGGAGTACCTCTCTATCTCCCTTTTTCCCCCTCCCCCCCCGGCCTGTCAGTTGTCAGCATTGGGGGGTGTGGCGGGGAGGGTGGTCGGCGGTCGGGAGGAGACCACGGGCGCAATTGGAAGGGCACGGTAGGCGGCGGGCACCGACAAGTTGGTGTTGAGGGGACGTTGCGGGCACATTCAAGAGGGCGGGTGGCGAACGATGGCCAGGAAGGAACTGCTGGCGTGGCAGGCACTAGCGAGGAGGATGTTGGAGACGATGGGTAGTGGCGAGGTGGGCTGAGGTGGCGGCTCATCGATCCCACCAGCAAGAGCTCGAGCTTGCTTAGAGGACGTCCCCCGAGGCGGAGGTGGCGGCTTGGCGATACGCTCGATGGGGAATGGGTAGGTGAGCTCGAGGGGATGGCGCATGGGTTCGTCTGACAGGGAATAGGTGGATGCAACACCACGGAAGCCCGAGTCTGGCAAAGCCCTAGAGGTTTGTGGCATGCTCCGAAGGCTACCGCATTGCCCAAACGCCCACGGTCTCCTCTAAATCTGCCCATCGTGGTGTCTCCTAGGCCTCCCCATTGCGGCGAGGAGATGCCTGGCTGAGCTCACCGCAGCGCCGAAGTTCCCCCTTCCAGTGCCGGTGTGAGGCGAACTCCAATGGGGAGGTGAGGAGGAGGTGGGAGGTGGTGGAGAGTTTACCAGCTGATAGACGCCGATAACAACATAGGAAGGAGTTGGTGTGGGGCAAACTCCGGTGGAGAGACGAGGAAGAGGTAGGTTGTGATGGAGAGACCACCGGCTGACTGGCACTGATAGCACCAGAGGAAGGAGGCATGGAGAGGAGGGAAGAAGAAGAGGAAGGACTAATAGGTGGGCCCATTGAATTTTTTTCCTGATTAGATTGCCACATGTACGCCACATAGGACCAAAGTCGCTCCGGGTTGAGTTAGGGGGTAGTGTGTTCGGTATAAATAGTTCAAGGTTTCAAATATCCCTTTTGTGGTTAAGGGGGTAATTAGTATTGTCACGATAGTTCAGGGGGTAATTCGGACTTTTTTTAAAAACAAACCTAGGACGGGATATGATATATTCCAAAATGACGACTCTAGACGGTAGGCTTGTCCAGAGTGGTGTCAAAAACATATCTGGCACCTATCTGAGGTTACCTACCAGCACTAATTAGGTTTATTGTACTAGTATTTCTACTATCTCCTTCCGTCACATAAAAAAGAAACCTAGTACAGGATAACATATTCTAATACTATGATTCACTACTTAAAAAACAATTTTTCATGGCACTTCTCTTTTATTTTTCTCAGGCGGACTAAAAATAGTGCCGCTAATGAAAATCACATTTATTTTTACTAGCGGATGACATAAGCATCCACCAGTGAAAATCACGTTATCTTTACTGGTGGACGACATAAGCATCCGCAGGAGAAAATCAATTTTACAAAATATATGTATTTATATCTAACTTTTTCATAAAAAAGTTGGATGAAAATAAAATTTATACCAAACTAATGAGATCTACAACTTTTTAGTAAAAACATTTCCATTTGAGATCATTTAGGGTTCAAAATATTCGTTATAAGATTGAAGATGTATTTTACAAAATTTCAGATACATGATTCAAATAACCTCCAATATACACATCATCTATGTCAAAGTTGTAGAGCTTTGCGAGATCTTACAACTTCGTAGTTCATGACTTTTTTTATTTGAAATCATTTAGAAAGGCAAATAAGTATTTTAAGTTTCAAATAATGAAAATCAAACCAATAGCATTCTGAATATACACAACAAGTGCTTCATAGTGAGATGGTAATATAATACATGTGTGGAGAGAGATCTTGTGTTCGAATCCTACAATTCACATACATGTGATTTTAATCCAAAAAAATTGCCTAAATTGTCAATTAGGATTCATAGTTGTGTTATAGATGCCGATAAAAATCAAAATATGTTTTTGATTTTATTTTTGCACCTAAAAAATTAAAATGAAAATGTACATAAAAAATCAAAATAAAAATGTGGAAATCGATTTTCATTGGCGACTGCATTATGTGGCCCGCCAGCAAAAATCGATTTTCACCGGTGGTCGGATGCCGCTAGTAAAGATCGTTGATTTTCACTAACCTTTAATCGTTGGCAGAACGTCCGGCTGCCAGGAAAAATATGTTTTAGCCACTAGAAAAGTGTGTTTTGTAGTAGTGTCTAGATAGGCCTACCGTCACATCCTAGTACTACGATTGTGGCAATTGTTCTATGTTAGCATTATATCTCTAATTCCTCTATGTTAGCATTATATCTCTAATTCCTATCTAAGGGGCTATTTAGATTGATGCCATTTTCAATCATACCATTTTTTTGGCAAAGTTGTCAAAAAAGTGCATACGTTTAGTTTGTTACCAAACTTTGGTAAATACATAAGAAATCCTGCTAAAATTTTGGCAATATTATCAACTTGCCAAAATTTTGGCATTAGCAAAATTTGGTAAGGTTTATTTTGGCTACAATCTAAACATGCCCTAACAAGTATCCAAATAGACGAATAGTAATGGTATTTTTCAAAATGAAAGAAGTTGTAATGGCATGTATCCAATTAGCCTAAGAACATTTCATGTAAAATGTTATTGAAAGTAACTCTTTTATTAAAAAAATTACTGGTATTTGAAGACTATGTACAAACTTTACCATACCAAGAGAAGAACTGCACAAGAAACCAAGGGACACATCCAATTGAGGCCTCCATGCATGAGAGGTTGAGACCACCTCATGAGAAGAACCCGATCTAGGTGTTCGATGGGGGCATTTGTGACCCTCTCCCCCTTTGGGTCTAGCGATAATCAGTCATGTATAGCGATGGCTGGCTCAGTGCTAACTTAGTTGTGTGAGGAGGTGCTAGCAGATGGTAGTGGTGTGTTTGTTTGCTTTTTTCTGATTAACCTTTCAGAGCTATAATCTTGTAATTTTTTTTCTTCTACGTATCAGTATGAAACTTTCCTGTGCTGGTTTGTTGTTTCGAAAAAGAAATTAATGTCTTACTATACCGTCTTATTTATTTACTAGAAAAAAATACCAGTGCGTTGCAACGGGGTAAAAATGTTTTTTTTATCCTATACATTAATACTCTCTTGGTTTTGGACCGAAAGCTCATTCATTCATTTCCAGCTCCAGTCCTAGCCCACTCCACTACCTTGCTCTGCTCGGCCTACCTCTGCTCGTACCATAACAGAGCCGATCTTCCCATCAAATCTGATAATCCGGTCAAACTCGCATAGTAAATCTGGTAATCCGGTCAAGCTCGCATAGTCCCGTGACCGTACGATGACGGAACCGATCATCTCCATCAAATCCGGTCGAATCTTTCTCGATCTCCAAAATTGTTGAGGAATTTTGATCCACTCGATCTTCTTTTTCCTTTTTTTCTATCAAAATCCCAAAAATTGTTGAGGGGAAATGATAAGAGAGTAGTGGGAAATCTTCTCGATCTCCAAAATTTACTCCGGTCGGCCCCGTGTACATACGATGACAGATTAGATGAGATCGGAAAAAAAAAAGGTGCGGGAAACACCGGAAAAAAAGAAACTGAAAAAAAACGGTGAAAAGAAAAAAAAAGGAAAAAACGAAACGGAAACGGAAAAAAAAGGAAACGGACTGGGGGAAAAGAAAAAAAAAGGAAAAAAAAGAAATGGACGAAAATATTGGCGGAAGCCTTATGTATTTTTTAATTATATATATATATATATATGTATATATGTATATATGTATATATATATATATATATGTATATATGTATATATGTATATATATATATATATACATATATATATATAGATTGTGTTATTACGTGGAATTTTTTTTATTTATACTTTTTTTTATTAAAATATTTACAAAAATAATTTTTTGTTTCGAAAATTTACAAATCTAATTGCCTGCCGCCCTCAAGAAGGGCGATTTTTAAAAATCGCCCTCTCAAAGGGCGGCAAGGGACCTAAATACAAAATTTTTATTTGTGTTCAAACCCTTCCCACCGGTTTTAATTACTTAAAAACTAATAATGCTTATTCGATACTCCAAATGATTTTAAATGGAAAAGTGATAAACTACAAAGTTATAGATCTCATCAAGATCTACAACTTTTATATAAAGTTTATCTCCATCCAATATCGTTTGAAATATAGATCTGAGATTTTTTAAAATGTGTTTTATATTTTGTAACGAATATTTGGATATCTAAAACATCTTAAATGAAAAAGTTACTAACTACAAAGTTGTAGATCTCCTTGAGCTCTACAATTTTGATATAAAGTTTTATTTCATCTGACTTTATATAATATAATTTTAAATTGTAAAATTATAGAGCTAACAAGTTATGCTGGAAAATTTACATTTAGGTCCCTTGCCGCCCTGTGGAAGGGCGATTTTTAAAAATCGCCCTTCTTGAGCGCGGCAGGCGATTAGATTTGTAAATTTTCGAAACAAAAATTATTTTTGTAAATATTTTAATAAAAAAAAGTATAAATAAAAAAAATTCTTATTACGTGGGCGGTGGGCTAACATGCTTTAATGGGCCTCAGGGCTCCTCTTTGCGCTGGCGGGCCTTGTTAGTCGTACCCCATCGGCACTCGACACCCATCCATCCGCCTCCTGCCTGCGCCGTCGGCCGACTCCTCGCTACTTCGCCCGCCACGCCGCCTCCCCCTGCGCCGATTTCCATCCGTATCCCTCGAGGTTGGGTGCCCGTCGTCCTGCTGCTTTCCGCCTCCGGTGAGCATCCATATCCCATCGCTTGCCTTTGTAGCAGTAATCTTTGTTTGGAGCGTGATTCGAGATCGAACTTCCTTGTTCCAGAAAAAAAAAAGAACGAAAAATGTCAAAAAGAAGAAAAAAGAACGAAAGGGTGGAGTTGAGATTTAAGGCACCCGATTATGCTACGTGGAAAAAGGAGGCAGCTGCATGCGACAAAGCTAATGGCAATGGTAAAGATGGATCGATTACAGTAAGAAGTGATTATCCATGGCACCCTCCCCATCGTTTTTAACTTACCGAGGGATTAGATTTGGAAAAGATTGACGAGGTATGATAACTACCCAGCTGTGGATATATCCCAACCCCCCCCCCCCCCCCCCCCCAAAAAAAAAAATCCTATTTTCTTCCCCTAGTGCTGACTCTTGACATTGTCTCTTTCAGTTTATGGATGAAAGGAATATTTCGATTGCCAAGACCATAGCAAATGACATAATCATCCCAGACCCTGCTCCCGAGGTTTGTGTTACCTTCATTTACAGAATTCAATTGATGAATCATTCCATTATATTAATTATTTTGTTTAATCCTGTAATATTATAGGGTACTTAAGTCTACTGAACCATTGATTATTTAATGCTGTCATAATATGAACCTTAAATAAGAGCATCTGGATTCACATGTCTGAACCATGATAGGCTGTAGATCCCCTTAGAGCAAGTTTAATAGTATAGCCAACTACTAACTCCAAATCACCTATAGTCAACTTAATAGCCAATTCATACAATAGTCACCTATAAACATATACTATACTATTAATACATGGTCCCACCTGTTATACACACATTATATTTTGGAGTCCGTGTTGCAACTGGCTATAAATCTGTAGCCCGCTGCTATTCTCTCTCCTCTTTTATTTCCTCGATATTTGTTTATAACTGGTTTATAGTCTGCTATTGTACCTGCTCTTATATTCTGTCTTCCCTTCTCCGTGCTTCATGTTTGGTTTCATCTCTAGCCCACCCCAACTTTCTTGCTCACAAGGTTTTGTTATTGTTGTTGTCATATATGCACCTCCATAAACCTCAAAACAGTTTATTTTGTTGTGCTTTGTTAGTTGGATAACTGATGCCTCAATTTTTTTTCGAATGTGATGGATCCATCTAGTGGATGTGTTATACCTTCTTGGACAAATATGACCAATTGGAGCCCATCTTTATAAAGGATAGTGCACGTTGCTTCCTCCGATTATTCAAGAACTGGAAGGGCTATACCATGTCATGGAATCTCACCATCACCGCACAAACCTTAACCTGCATGGTCAGTTTCAATTCCCTGCGATGCGCGAAAGTTGTATTGGAGGGCAGGGCACCTGAGCTCCTTGGGGTGCATGCCAATCCCAACTGCGTAACCAAATATGGATACTTCCCGCTCCATGAAGCTGCTGAAAGGTTCTCTATTGAGATGATCAAGCTGCTCTTACGCCATGGTGCATCAGCCAACGTACGCACGGTTGGCGACGATGTCATCGATGGCCTACTCCTGCTCCATATCGCGATTGAGAACACTTGCCTGCATAAGTATCTTGAGGACAATCTTTCTCCCGGCCAGGATCATCTGGATTATATCTACAAGCTTTTCCATCTGCTGTGTTTACCTGAAATGGTTTGTTTCTCTTCCCTCCATATATATGCAAAGTACTGGAGTACTTTTAATTTGCAGCATGACATAAAGAGTAATTAACTGTTGTCATGCCATAGATCCCAGACAGCTGTTATTATGAATTAGTTATATTAAGGACTAAACATCCTTTTGTCTCCACTTGTCAGAGGGAGTAAAGTTTCCCTTTGTTAATCTTTTGTCTTACTTTGTGTTAGTGCATCTTCATATAGTTAAAGACAAGGAGAGTCTTCAATAAAATATACTAAAATGTTGCTAGTAAGTAATTTTATTTTCTTTGCCTCAATCCATAATTACTTTGATAGGAAGATTGTCCCTAATCCATAATTACTTTGATAGGAAGAAATGAAACCATATATAGAAAGTTAATCGGCACTACTTGCTTGCACATAAAAATGCTAAATGGCACTTAGATTTTTGTTCCTTTTGTTTTAACAGAAGATCTTCCTGGATACAACTAGACTACTTGCAGGAAAAACAAATAATCTCCTTGAAGAGCTCTGGAATTATATTGAGAATGGAAAACTTATCCAGACCGCAATTCTACTACTGGCTGCTCAGGAGCAGATCCGAGGGGGATGTTCCTCCAAGATAAATGGCAGTAGAAAGAAAAATGGGTATGACATTATGTACAAGCGTATACTGAGGCTTTCATTTGCCTTGAGATGGGGGAAAGTTTCAAATGGAATGACACAGAAGCTTATGAAGGAAAAGAGGGCACTCATTGATTGCATGGGGCTGCTTGTTGATGCAATTTCCCATGCTGGTGAACCTCTTTCTGCATACATTCAGGCTCATTCAGAGGTACGCGTTTTTGGTATGTTGCAGCTGTGGTGCCTCTAATGCATTTATAAATTAAATATACATAGATAATATTTGGAATTTGAATAACTGAAGGACTGTAAAGTTTAGTTAAACATACAGAATTGCGATGCAGGTCTTGATTGGTACTTTTGAAGCGTCTGGATAACCTCTGATTACAATAACCAAGATGAATCAATCTAAATGAATTCGAATATGTATGTTATGTCGTTTATAAAACCAAGTAGAAAATTTAATGTGCTTGTATGTTTGCAACTGTTTTTGCACACTATTCTATTGCATTCCAATTCATATAATCGCAAATTTTCTCCTTCTGATTATTTGTGATCTAGCTTATACAACATATTGTCGCAGGCGCCACATGTGGAGGTCTTGGAACATGTTTCAACTATCCTCAAGGAGTATGGATTTTGCCCTACTGAAGAAGTCATGGACACCATAAACCTGTACTACTTTTTGTTTTGCTTCACACAACAATTTTCTATGTGAATACATGTTAATTTTGCTGATTATTTTGCTTTGTTCTTCCACTTTTTCCTTGAAGCCAACCTTATGACTGCAAAATGTCAGAAACAAAATCATGTAGCAAAGGTGTGTTGGGCTCAAGTGATTCTTTTTACATTTAACAAAAATGAGCCCTAAGCCTCCTTTTTTTTTTTCATGGAGAACAGGGTTTACAGATGCAAACACGGCAGTTGCGGAAATGGCTAATCTGCATGCTGCAGACAAAAAGGTAAAGATAATCAAATATTACTGTATCGGAGCATCTCTACCTTTGCCTTCTTGTGAGATGTAGTACGTAAGGTGTCATTCACACAAATAGTAGTGTAGTATTGCAGTGTGCAGCAGCCAGGTAAGTCAGTTGCATGATTAGTTTGGTATCAAGTTTGATTTGGTTGCTACTTGCTAGTTGTCGATTGTTATATGGGCTGAAGACCTATCTCTAGTCCATACCCCCCCCCCCCCCCCCCCCCCCCCCGCGGTGCCCTGTGGAAGTTCTTGGTCTTGGTGGTAATGGTCTATACACATGCTTCAATTTCTGTTCTTTTACATGTCTAAACTATCCTTTGTATGGAGCAATGCAGACTCTTTTATGGCAGGGTATTGTCCTAGAAGTTAGTATCTTGTGAACAAATCTGAAAGTAAATAAGTAAAGTAGAGATAACTAATAACAAATTGGCTGCAGAAAGATTGCTATAGAAATTTCTGTCCTTTCCTTGTTTGATTTTTTTAGAAAAAAAAATTACACCAACTTTTTTTTATAAAAATTATGTAACAAATTGACAAATCCCGTTGCTTTGAATTGCTTCCAAATACAGTTGGCCTTGCAATGCCACACATTCCAATTATGATTCATCTCTGCCACGCTAATGTGATCGAGACTACTGTGTTTCTCATCAGGTTCTTTACCAAAGATAAGGGGTAAATGCAATAAAAAATAATAAAGGAAATAATACAAATAATGAAATTAAACTAGCGCCTGGCTAAAACCCCGTTGGGCATAATTAGCTCAATAACATAGCTGAATTGTTTCAATTCCCAAGTAATATCAACACTGAGACTTGACAAAGGGGGCTTGCATCTTCTCTCTGAGGAAGATTCTGATGAAGGAAGATGCAGTGTAATATTATTAAGTTGTTAGAGGCAACAACAAAAGCAAATATTTCGCTTGCTATGTTTGTAGCATGCCTTCTGCTGCTTCAACAGCTTATCATGTTGCTTAAGCAGTACTGCACTGTAGTAAAACCATTCATATCCAACAAAACACCAATACTTTGTGTTAATTAACATAGAACCTCTCAAGTGAGAGATTGTGGCTGACCAATATGAATATATTATGTCTGTTTGTTTTTCCAATGCTGTACTTTTATTGAAATACTATGTAACAGGCTGGGAGAAAGGAAGTAGGCAGAGGATGGGATCCCACATATACAAGGAGAAATTTTTTCCCATATTGGAGATCAATTTTACGAACCCGGTGCCCTGTGAAGGTGTATCCAACCTATGCACGAGCAGATGCTAGGTCCGGGCGTGATCTTGAACAGATCCGTGCCTTTGAGAGCAACTCATCAATGGCCAAAAATCGTATACTTGGTTCAGTGGGAAGGATCCCATCACTACTTGCAAGCAATCATCAATCCAAAAGGAGCTTTAGCACTGCTGCTACTGGTGCATTCAGGCTCTTGAAGCTGTTGAAGTAAAGCACGAGTACAAAAGGTATGCCCATGAGTTTTTTTTTTTTTTTTTGCCAAGTTTCGTTTGATGCACCTTTAACTTGGTACTATATCCATCTTAAAATATAAGGCGTATTTTGTTCTGTTATGATAAGGTTTTGTTTCGCAATTGCTTCCCTAATATATTATCTATTCCTATATGAAGACGAATCTAGTAACACCAATTTTGCTTCATAAAAGTTATATTATAATAGAGTAATTGTTGATCAAAGTCTCGTCCTAATGAAAACAATATATGTTATATATTTTGAAATAGAGGGAGTAAGGTTATTTGTTAAGTACTCCTAACACCCCAAAATATCAGTTTTTAGCCATCAGGATTTGTCCCAAAATATAACAACTTCTTCGCCAACATTTTTTTCTCAACTAATCACAACCCTCCACCATTCACTTTTCCCACCTACCTCTACTACTCATCCAATCATAACTCTCCACCATTCACTTCTACCTACTTTCGTAGGCTGTGTTTAGTTCCTGAAAAAAGTTGGAAGTTTGGGGAAAGTTGGAAGTTTGGAAAAAAAGTTGGAAGTTTATGTGTGTAAGAAAGTTTTAGATGTGATGTGATGTGATGGAAAGTTGAAAGTTTGGGGTAGTTGGGGGTGAACTAAACACGGCCTTAATAACCGTGTCCAACTCTAAAGCTTCTTATATTTTGGGATGGAGGGAGTAGTTCATTAATGATTGACGAGTTGCTTATAGTGTTAGGTATTCTATTATTTTGTCTTATTTTCCGATGTTTAAGTTTGTATGGCGCGGTGTTCTAACATCCATATTTATGTAATACACAAAATAACGAATATTTACATCAAATCATAATGTTTTTGTTTTGTTTGTGCAGGTTCTATAGTTGAGAGACCAAATATTGACTTTTCTCTGAAAATTAATTCACCTGTGACAGATCTAGCATGGGGGCTCCAATACCCTTGCCCGCTGGATCTTGAGGGAAGGAGGAAGAAGAGGGATTTGAGCAAGAAGGCAATGACCCTCCTTCAATCTCAAGCTGCATCAGCCCCTGTAATTCACAATAAATATGATTCATTTTATATCTGTACGTAGCAAATTAATTTATAAAAAGGGTCAAAAAGGAAATATTTTTTTCTTAAAAATAGATCCTTCACACCAAAGAGGCTGGCGCCAAGGGCTTACTTATAAGAAAAAAAAAGTACTTACGTTTTGACCATGTTTAGAAATTTTTTTCTTACAAATAAGTCCTTGGTGTCAAGTTTTTTGCGCTAACCCCTTCACGTCAGCGACTTAGCTATAATATAAGGGCGCTAGGGGTGGCGGTGCCGATTGGTGCTAGTGAACCTCTTCTTCTTAAATGAAAATAGGCTCTCCCTGTTCTCTTCTGAGGTTTTCCCTAAAAAAAATAATAATGTCGTTGTCGTCTCTTAGCCAAACGTTTAACATTTCGATTTATTCAAATAATTGTGCAAATATATAAATCAGGTTTAAAGTACTTTTAATAATAAATAAATCATAATAAAATACATTATAATTACATTTTAATAAGGCAATATCTATTAAAAATTAGAGACGCTATGTATTAAAAATTGAAGGGAGTAACTTTTTAGAGGTGTAACCAACTGTAACTTGTAACCTTCCTAACAAACTTCCCATGCTTTAATTTCTGTTAGATTTGAACACATTATAATTCTATTGATACAGATTTGATTTCTAGAATCTGCTCCACTTCTTTTACTTGGGCAAGTCTATATCCAAATTTTAATAGAATTATTTCAATATCACAAAACATTTTTTCCCAGTTTTTTTCATCCAAATGTATGTGTTGTTGCCCTGCACTTTTCATCGTGATCCAGGCTTGGAATTATCTCCCTTATCTCTTACAATATCATTGTATCTCTTACTCTTATATTTATTATATGCTTATTCAAACGGCTTATTAGCTACTAGAAAATAATTTATAAGTAAAATTTTATATATGTCCTTAGTGACTCAAAAGTAAATGTTGTAAAACAAATTACGATGAAAAAAACCACAAAATCACCTCCAAAATTAAGTTTTAAAAATCAAAATTTAGCTTATAAACATGAGCAAAACAATTATGCTCTTATTATCCCTACCAATTGAGATGTTTTAGGTTAGATCTAGCTAATTCTTTTTTATCATAACCGTGTAACTAGGGGTGAAAACGGTACAGAAACAGACGGAAACCACCTTTATCGTTTTCGTTTTGATATTTTTTTTAATCGGAATCGGAATGGAAACCTCGGATACAAAAACGGAATTGAATATTATCGAAACCGAAAACAGAGCGAAAACGAACCGGCGTGAATACGATAACAAAATTTTATCGGAATAAAAAACCCCTCAAACTGATAAATCCAATTCTCAAGTCTCAACAGCCAACAATTCATCATAAAACAGTCTTAATAGTACATCACAAAACACAGTCTATGAAATAAATTATCTATGTTTAATAGAGTAATGTTGTTGATAAATCCTAATACAAGAAAAAATATTCTTATGTAACTTCAGAGTTGCATAACAAATATTTTTTAAAAAATAACAGCCAAACACCATAGGATTAACTATTTAGTGCTTAAAAAAAAGAATCCAGGGTATTTCAGTCACAAAATTTTTGGAAATTCCAAGAAAATTTCCGGAAAGATTCCGACCGATTCCGAGTTCCGACGAAAGCTGCCCTTATTATTTTCGATTCCGTTTCCAAGAAAATATTTCCGAATTCATTTCCATTTCCGAAAAATTCTAAAAAAAAAATCCAACCGATAGATTCTTTTTTCAAAAATAGATCCGGAATTCGGAAAGTTTCCATACCGTTTTCACACACATACCTTGACCCCCACCAAAAAATAGAGAGAATTGGGGAAAAGAATAGGACCCCTTGTGATTCAGATGGATGGGTTCGCAGGCCACGTGGTGGACCATCTCCACCTCTCCCTACCTATCTCCCACGCGATCACTAAAACATCATCATTAAAATAAGATTCGATCGAATGCCACTCTTAAACAGCGGGCATTCGCTGTAACTGTAATGTCACTTTTCTTCTTTTTTTTCATCTGCAAATTGTTTTTTCACAATTTCTTTTTTTTTCTCGAACGTACTTACCCTTGGCTCAATTGGTCCATGAAAAAAGAAAAAAACAATTTACAAATGCAAAAAACCATGAAGCTATGCTATTCCAGCGACTCCCTTTTTTTGGGTTTCTCTCGGGCAAGCGAAGCGAGAGAAGCGCAGGGGCAGGCCCACTGACACGTGGGGTCCACGCGCCGTGCACCGCATTTCTCCCAAGCCTTGCCGGCTTCTCTCCCATCACACCCGAGGCCACGCCTCCACCACCTCCTCCTCCTCGTCCTCGGCGTCGCCGCAGCCGGCGTCTTCTCCACCTCCTCCGCGCCGCGCTTGCAAGCGCGCAACCAACTTCCAGGTCAGTCAGTGCGGCCGCGTTTCGTCATGCTTTTGGACCACTTTGCCGTAGCGCCCCCCCCCCCCCCGGTAGGCGGCAGTGGTGGAACAGTAGCCGCCATGATTTTTTTTTTTGCCAAAATTTGTTACGGGACACGAAAAAAACGTGTAATTGGCTGAGGGACACCGTAAAAAATTAACACTACATATGGACACTATAAAAGTTGTGTAATTGGCCGTAGGACACTAGACGTATTATTTTATAATTTTCGGGATGAAAGAGAGGAGAGATGGCCCCTCTACTCCTTCCTTTCATCTCACTGCAGCCGATATGTCGGCCCGCGCCCAAGGACAAGCAAAGGTTCAAATTTGTAGGGTTTTGTTGACGGTCATTATCGATCAGTTTCGACCGTCAATATTACCAAAATAGAGGAGAACTAGTGATAATATTTCACTAGTATTAGGTCTACTAACCTTTTGTAGAGAATACCAATAAAGTGAGGAAGAATCGATATCAACATAAACGATAAATCAATCCGACGATGTCGAGAATCAGACATCGTGTCGTCCTCCTCCACAGGGAGCTCGGTGAGCATCGCTGTGATGTGGAGTGGCCTGCAGAAAGGGGAAGCGGAGGAGCAACAGCGGCATGCATCTTCATGACAGGGGCAAAGAGTGCCATTGTTTTAAGTTTAGAAGATTGAAGTGGCACCCATCTGATTTTATAAATAGCACTGATATTTTTCTAATACAACATATTTGGCAATGACATGGATCTAATTAACTCTTTATTTTTCTTTATCGAACTTCGTTTCGTGTCGAGAACTTCGTTAAGTGATTCCATATGTTATTTGTTAAGAGTTTTGATATGTTATTAATTAGTATAAACCTGATTGTGATTAATGTGTCGAAAACTTTGGTCAATTCTTGTACGTATGACGTTTTCATTTGAAATTTAGATTTTGAATTTAAATCGCGGTGTTTAAAATTGTGAATTTGTTTTTTTAAACGACTCGCACAAGTTCTATTGATAGAGCATGAAAAAACCACCACCCACATACCGCCAGCGCCAACACACAGGTCCGGGAGAAGGCTAGCACCGGACCAGCCGCCGCTAAGCGTGACTGACCGCCGCTAGGCCAACAAAGGAACACAGACGAGATCGCCCAAAAACTCCCTTACAACCAACACAAAGCCTAACTCTATCCTAGAGCGTGCTTGCACCAATCGATTGAGTGGTTTCGGCAAGGGGATGCCTAAACGATGTCTCCAAAGAGAGAAGCGACGGAAAACCGCCGCCGCCGTCCGTCAAGGACTCAAAAGAGCCTAGATTGGGCTTTCGCCTGGCAATAAGGCAACCACCCTTGAGGGATGAGACGGCACGACAACGCCCTCATGAGAGGGAATGAACCATCGTTGTCGGCCCGGCCAAGGCCGAACTAGGTTTTCACCCGCTGCTCATCACCTGCGAGTCAATGGCTGACGCACCGATGCTCCACCACCGCTCAACCTCTGCAGGCATGTGGGACCACTGCACCGGCATCCCCCGCCGGCCAGCCTTCGTGCGCCGAACACCGCGACACACCCACCGGCAGCTCCTCCTCACACCGTGGTTGCCTCCTTTACCGCCGGTCGCGCCTCCTCACGCTGCACTGGCCTCCTCCACCACCAAATGCGCCTCTTGCGCTAGTCTGGCCTCCCACCATCGGCGCGCCTCTCGCGCCAAGCCGGCCTCCACTCCGCCGGCTGCGCCTCGCCGGCCTCCACTACCATCGGTTGCGCCTCTCTTCGCCAAGCCGGTCTCCGACCCCTCCAATCGCTACCGCGCCGGTCAGGTGCGTCCGTCTGCCACGCCCTCGGCTAGCCGTCCGAGACCGCCATGCCTCCTTCCACCGCAGTCACGGTCACCACCACCGTGCCTCTTCCACCGCAGGCATGGCAACCGCTGTTGCCGACAGCCAGCCACCTCACCGCCGTCCAGCCGCCGCGGTCACCGTCCTTCCCCGCCGCCCGACTCCTTCCCGCCTCCAAATTGTGAATTTAAATATTGTTCAATTCGAAGTGTTAGAAATATTTATTTATGTTTGAATTAGTCGCAAAAATATAGAGTTTATATTGAAATAAAAGAGAAAATAAATGGGGGCTGAGAAATGCAGAATACCACTGGAGTTGGAGGGTATGTTTTAGGTTGTGAAGAAATAAATTAGCTTCTAACTAATTTTTGCGTGATTGTATTGCTTGGGCTAACATCAAGCGAACTTAATACTTCCTCCGTTTCATATTATAAGACTTTCTAGCATTGCCCACATTCATATATATGTTAATGAATCTAGACATATATATGAATGTGGGCAATGCTAGAAAGTCTTATAACCTGAAAAGGAGGTAGTAGGCCTCATTGCGCTCGAGGGCCTTGTAAGTCCATCGATATAGGAAGGAATAAGTTCACTTTGGGTCCCTCTATTTGTCGCCCAGTCCGATTTTAGTCCCTTGGTTGCAAAACCGGGTATGACGGGTCCCCCAACTTACAAAACAGTTTAACGATGTCCCTCGATAGTATTGTGCCCGGTTTTTGCTGACGTGACATCGACGTGGCTCCTTTGACCAGATCTTCGTCATACGTGGCATTGACGTGGCGCTTACATGGTAATTCGATATCGAAAAAATAATTAAAACAATGGGACCCACATGTCAGCTTCATAGTGGGGTCCATCTATCCTGTCATCCTCTCTCTCTTTCCGGTCAGTGAAGCAGGACGGGCGGCGCCGGAGCGGACGACGGCCGGCGACTAGAGCAAGCTAGCGGCAAGAAGGGCGGCCGGAGCAAGCTAGCGGCCAGGAGCCACTCTCCTCCTCCTTGTCGGCCGCGGGCGGGGAGATGTTGGTGGCGGCCTCGACGAGGAGCCGCTCTAGTTGACGGTGGCCGCGAACGGGGAGATGTCGATGGCGGCCTCAATGGGGAGCCGCTCTGGCTGATGATGGCTGCGGGCGGGGAGGGAGATGTCGGCGGCGACCTCCGCGATTGTGGTCTTCCCTCGCCGGATCTTCCGGGACGGCAGCGACAGTGGCATGCGCCATCGCAGAGGAGGCGACGATGGAGATGAGGAGGCGGATCTTCCGCCCGCCGCACGCTGCTCCACTCCAGCCGCCTGCCGACTGCCGCCCGTCGCCCGCTGGTCCTCTCCCGTTGTCTTCCGCCCACCGCACGCCGCACGCCGGTCCACTTCGGCTGCCTGCCGCTCCTCTCCTGCCGCCCGCCGCACGCCGCTTCTCTCACGCCGGCGTCATTGAAGGAGAAATAAGTAGAGAGGGTGAGGTTGAAGAAGTGGGACCCACTGACATGTGGGCCCTTTTTCTTTTTTTACCGATATGTGGGTCCCACATATTTTGTTTAATTTTTTTATTTTCATTTTTGCTGCTTTTATTTTTTTATCTAATTGCCACCTAAGCACCACGTCAATGACACGTAAGACAAAGAACTAGTCAAAGGAGCCATGTAGGCGCCACGTTAGGCAAAACCGAGCACAATACCACTAGGGATGAAAATGGAGCGGATAGTTTCCGTCCGCTCTGGACAAAAACGGATATGGATACCTTTCGGATCGGATAATTCTCGGATAGTTCGGATACGGATACGAATACGGATATTTTCTCCCGGATACGAATACAGATATGGTATCAGGGTTTCCGTCGGATACGGATAATAATTCGGATATCCACAGAAGCCATGAGACATACCCCATTTCTTTCTAATTCTAGAACCTTCAATATACATTTATATATATTTTAATAGTAGTTTATCTCTTAACACTAGTCCATACTATTAATATTATTTAAATTTTAAAAAATATTTATAAATTATACTTCATTTTATATAAAATGAGCTAATTATATATGTTGGTATTTGTTTCTATTAGAAGTTGAGTTGGTTTTCGTGTTCCGAGAAAAATTTGTTTCCGTATTCGTGCCCGATCATATTCGATTCTTATTCGTATTCGAGATAATCCGTATTCGTTTCCGTATTCGAGCTATCCATATTCGTTTTCGTATCCGGTAAAAAATACGAAAACGAATATGGTATGAGCATTATCCATCCGTATCCGCTCCGTTTTCAACCCTAAATACCACCGAGGGACCTCATTTGCACTGATTTCGTAAGTTGGGGGACCCGTCGTACCCTGTTTTGCGACCAAGGAACGAAAATGGGACTGGGCGACAAATAGAGGGACTCAAAGTGAACTTATTCTATATAGGAATGAAGATACTCCTTGCGCCGGCCCAAGTCAATCTCCCGGTCTTCTCGGCCTCTACTACCGTCTCTTCTCTAGTTTCGCCCGCCGCGCCTCGCCTCGCCGCCTGCGCCGCTTCCCATCCATCTCCCGCGAGGTGGGTGCCGTCGTCCTTCTGCTTCCGCCTCCGGTGAGCACCCGTCCCGAAGCATGCGCATCCTCTTTCCTTTGAATTTTCCTTAACTTCTTATCTTCTCTCCCAGATCTGGAAGCTAGGGTTTTACTGCAGTTCCCCCAACCAAGAAAAAAATAATCTGGGTGTTAGTGAATATTTTTCAGTTTTTGGTTTCTAGATTTCCATAATTTCTATGTATCAGAGTTTCTAGCGCTCTCAAATTTAGCTTTTAGTTTCTATATTTCCATAGCCTTCTGGTTTCTAGATTTCCACTCCCAAATTTAGCTTTTGGTTTCTATATTTTCCATTGTTTATATTCGCACTCTCAAAATTGGCTTTTCGCTTTTCGTTTCTAGATACACTTTATATGCATCCGAGTTTCTAGCACTGTTTGTCCCTTCATTTCGCATATAGCATTGTTACATCTCAGGATAGAGATGTATGAAGTCTGAGTCTCCATATGCTTTCTATTCGCTAAATATGTTTTAGTATGTTTCAGTGATGTCTGATCCATTTTAGATGGAAGGACTCATTTTTATCACATGGTCTTCTGGATCATTCTTTGACCATTGCATGCCTTGTACTCCAGTTATCTTGTTTGGAGTGTGATTCGAGATCAAACTTCCTTGTTCCAGGAAAGTAAACCCGAAAGGATGGAGTTGAGATTTAAGGCACCCGATTATGCTACGTGGAAAAAGGAGGCAGCTGCATGCGACAAAAATAATGGCAATGATAAAGATGGATCAATTCCAGTAAGAAATAAGTATCCACGGCACCCTCCCCCTCGTTTTGAACTTGCTGAGGGATTAGATTATAAAAAGATTGACAAGGTATGATAACTACCCAGCCACGATATATTTTCTTCCCCTAGTGCTGACTGTTGACTTTCAGTTTATGGATGAAAGGGCTATTTCGATTGCCAAGACCATAGCAAATGACATAATCATCCCAGACCCTGCTCCTGAGGTTTGTTACCTTCATTTACAGAATTCAATTGATGAATCATTCCATTATATTAGTTATTTCGCTTAATCCTGTAATATTATAGGGTACTTAAGTCTACTGAACCATTGATTGTTTATTGCTGTCATATATGAACCTTAAAAAAGAACATCTGGATTCACATGTCTTAACCATGAGAGGCTTTAGATCCCCTTATATTCTTTCTCTTCCCTTCTTCTCCGTGCTTCATGCATGTTTGGTTTCATCTCTAGCCCACCCCAACTTGCTTGCTCACAAGGTTTTGTTATTGTTGTTGCCATATAAGCACCTCCATAAACCGCAAAACAGTTTATTTTGTTGTGCATTGTTAGTTGGATGATAACTGATGCCTTTCTTCTTTTTTTTCTAATGTGATGGATCCATCTAGTGGATGTGTCATACCTTCTTGGACAAACATGATGAATTGGAGCCCATCTTTGTAAAGGATAGCCCCCGTTGCTTCCTCCGATATTTCAAGAACTGTGGGTGCTATGGCATGTCATGGAATCTCACCATCACCGCACAAACCTTAACCTGCATGGTTAGTTTCAATGCCCTGAGATGTGCAAAAGTTGTATTGGAGGGCAGGGCACCTGAGCTCTTTGGGATGCATGCCAATCCCAACTGCGTAACCAAATACGGATACTTCCCGCTTCACGAAGCTGCTGAAAGGTTCTCTGTTGAGATGATCAAGCTACTCTTACGCTTTGGTGCATCAGCCAATGTACGCACAGTTGGCGACGATGTCATTGAGGACCTACTCCCGCTCCATATTGCGATTGAGAATACTTGCCTGCATAAGTATCTTGAGGACAATCTTTCGCCCAGCCAGAATCATTTGGATTATATCTACAAGCTTATCCACCTGCTATGTTTACCTGAAATGGTTTGTTTCACTTCCCTCCCTATGCAAGTACTACTTTTGCAGCATGACATAAATAGTAACTGTGGTCATACCATAGATCCCAGACAGCTGTTATTACGAATTAGTGATATTAAGGACTGAACATCCTTTTGTCTCCACTTGTTAGAGGAAGTAAAGTTTCCCTTTTTTAATCTTGTCTTCATGTGTTAGTGCATGTTCATATGGTTAAAGGCAAGGAGTCTTCAATAAAATATACAAAACATGTTGCTACTAAGCAATTTTATTTTCTTTGCCTTGGAGATTGTCCGTAATCCTTAACTACTTTGATAGGAGGAAATGAAGCCATATACAGAATAGGAGGAAATGAAGCCATATATAGAAAGTTAATCAACACTACTTGCTTGCGCGTACAAATGCTAAATGTCACTTTGTTTTTGTTCCTTGTTTTACAGAAGATCTTCTTGGATACAATTAGACTGCTTGCAGGAAAAACAAATAATCTACTTGAAGAGCTCTGGTATTACATTGAGGATGGAAAACTCATCCAGTCTGCAATTCTACTACTGGCTGCTCAGGAGCAGATCCGAGGGGGCTGTTCCTCCAAGATAAATGGCAGTAGTAAGAAAGATGGGTTTGGCATTATCTCTAAGCGTATACTGAGGCTTTCATTTGCCCTGAGATGGGAGAAAGGTTCAAATGGAATGGCACAGAAGCTTCGGGAGGAAAAGAGGGCACTTATTGATTGCACAGGCCTGCTTGTTGATGTAATTTCCCAAGCTGGTGAACCTCTTTCTGCATACGTTCAGGCGCATTCAGAGGTATGCATGTTTGGTATATTGCAGCTGTGGTGCCTCTGATGCATGTTACTTAATATTTTTAATATTTGTATTTTGACCATTGTAAGAGCTGTTGTTTAAAAAATACATGTGGTCTTAGCAAGAAGAATGTTAATAATTCTTGTGTTGACTGAAAATAATAATAATAATAATAATAATAATAAATGTTATATTTGATAACTTTGTGATAAGAGTTCATACTTTAACAAATCTATACAGAAGTGAACTTTTGTAAAACTAACAGTTTCGCAAGATTTCATAACTACTGAAATCCTATCTCCGATCAACCAGACTCTTGTTTCATTCAGTAGCATAGCTTTGTTTGTTCTGTTAGGTGATCGGAGATAGGGGCATTGAATACCTAAGACTCTTGATTGGAGATAGGATTTCATTAGTCATGAGATAGGTTCTATTCCATATTTCCATCCCTGAATCTTCCCAACTAGCTTCTCAGAGAAGAAAGATTCTGGAGGAAACTCAACCTTCACAGGTAGTTGATGTTGTTTACTGATATGAGATTTAATATCTGAATTCCAGAGTTGGTGTATTTTATCTGAAAGCCAAGCCTAAATTAACAATAATATTGCAACACATTTATATTTTGTACTGAACTATTGTATATGTAATACACATGACTACATGAGGTTTTCTTAATCTTTGGTGTAACTTGGAGTATGGAAGTGTTATTTTTCATTGAACCTTGCATTTGATTTTATGCCAATTTTGTTTTATGCTTTGCTTCAATGTTTTGAGAGGTGTCTTGCTTAAACCAATGAACTTTTCTTACAGCAATTATCTATGAACTACTGCCCATCTTTTTACATAAATTTCAGAGAATTACACTTCCAAGCTCAAAATTATCACTGAACAATTTTTCCGAACCATTATCCCAGATTTATATTTATTTATCATAAAGCTGCACATTTTACCAGCTGTTGAGTGTTGACAATTACTCCCTCCTTCCAAAAGTCTAAGTTCTATTTCTTTTTGCACCAAGACCAAGGTGTAATTAACTCATTCATCATGTGACAAAACCAAATGAACATGCAACCAATAAGTACTAAAATGACTTTTTGAGTTCCGATAAAAAATATAATATAGCACATAGTGACTACAAATAGGACTTAGACTTTTGGAAAAACCAAAGAATGAAATAGAACTTAGACTTTTGGAAGGAGGGAGTATGAACCACATGTCATGCACATGTGGCTCTACTGACCTCAGAGTGGTTGACCTTTGGGCCTAATGTTGCAGCTCATGCCAAGAAGGGTCCAGTTTTCTGACAATATATTGAAAGAATGCGTAGTTTGTGATTTTTCTTCAAGAAGTGTAGTTTCTGAAAATTTTGAGTATGCTCGTTCCTCACTGAGATGTATCCTTTTTTTCTTACTTGATGCTTTGTGCACATATATTAAGAAAACAAAAAGGAGACTATATGTCCCTACTAAAGTTGTCTATTGCTACCTCATTGAATCAGTCTGTCTCAACCACCCATAGTAACTAATGTAAAGGAATTGAGTTCCGTAATTGCTGCTTGCACTAAAGAAGGCAGTGGTAATTTGAGAAGATGTAGTTGTCTCTTGTTGAAATCATATGACTTGAAATAAAAAGGATTACTTTTCATCTTCTATCAAATTAAAAGCGTTGGATGGAGTTTGCTTTAAAACCATATCTCTTTTGTTTACTACATTTTTTATGCATCTGATAACTGATTACTACATGATTATGCCATAAATAACGAATCTACTTTTTAGTTTGTATGAAATGCTATATGTAAAACAGCTAATGAATCTGTATTAATCTCATTACTAGATTAATTCAATTTGTGGTTCTGTAGATACAAGCATTCTATGGTTTGATACTAAAATTGCTGACCTTGTGTTTACAAATGAATATATATAGCGAACTTCTGTAGCTATGCTGGATGGTCATAATGGTGTAGTTTCATATTAAAACTTTGGAATTTTTTCAATATGTAGTATAAATCAATTTAGCGTGTTTTCTTATGTTTTTATCACTAAATTCTGTTCTTATTAATTTTTCAAATACGCAAGATGTTATTTAGATTAAAAAACTTTCCATCCACTTCACTGTCCATCACTTCACATGTACAGTGTGAAATGCCAATGTAGTTTTTGAAGCTTCCCTTATGTCTATTTTCTGGTTGTCACTTCCTAGTAGGAGTACCATTTTTAGCAATCAACATAAAGTGTTTGATAGGCTTAGACTGTGTTCTTAAGTCTATCTTCCCAACTTGACCTCCCTTGTTTTCCATGCAACGCTTCCCAAACTATTAAATGGTGTGTTTTTGTGCGAAGTTTTATAGGAAAGTTGTTTAAAAAAACATTAATTCATTTTTTTAAAAAAGCTAATACTTAATTAGTTATATGCTCATGCGTGCTTCTTTTTGCATGCCGGAGAGGAGGGGTTCCCAACCCCTCCTCCTGAACACACCCTTAATGCTATTAATAGCACATGGTGCATATGAACAAAAGGCATGCACTTGTTTCATTTATCTTTGTTTATTTTCTGGATGCCTGGCAGATAAATTGGCCAAAATAAGCACTTTCATGTTTTCATGGCCAAAATATATGCTCCAGCTCCAAGAATTTTAGGAGCTGGGTATTCTTGGTGCTTGAGCTGGGGGTGTATTTAGATTTTGAATTTAACCTTCTTGTTAACTGAAAATATATGCTTAAGGCACTTTATTTAGCCTATAAAGTCCAGGTCCTTCAAGAAACCTGGAGTTAGAGCTCATACCGTAACTTGTCTGTGACCCCAGAGGACAGTTCAATTTAGCTCAACAAACACTAGTATGCAATTCATGACCTCTTTAAGTCTGTCTGAACTTCATTTTATATCATAAAGCCTGAAGAAATTGACACATTTCTCTTTGAGAAATAAAGATAAAACAATCGAGGTGATTTCGAATGCTTACAGTTGGAATTTGAATAACTGAACGACTGTAAAGTTTAAACATACAGAAGTGTGATGCAGTTCTTAACTCGTACCTTTGAAGTGTGTAGATTATAATCTCTGATTACAGAACTTTTGGAATCTAAGAGGCTTTGCTTTAAGATAACTATAAGATAAATCAATCTAGATGAATGTGAATATGTATGTTATGTAGTCTATAAAACCATGTAGCAAAATGAATGCGATTGTATGTTTCTTACTGTTTTTTGCACACTATTCTATTGCCTTCCAATTCATATTGTATAATTGCAATTTTCTCCTCCGAACAATTCTTTCCATCATCTCTCTGCTATCATTGGTTATATGATTCCTAAATTGTATATATGATATATCTATGCTAGCGGCATATTGCCTTTTCTGTTTATTTTTGCTCTAGCTTATACAACAGCTTTTATGTCAATTCAGGCGCCCCATGTGGAGGTTTTGGAACATGTTTCAACTATCCTCAAGGAGTATGGGTTTTACCCCACTGCAGAAGTCATTGACACTATGAACCTGTACTTCTCTTTGTATTGCTTCACACAATAGTTTTCTATGAGAATACATGTTTACTTTGCTGATTATTTAATTTTGTCTTCCACTTTTTTCTTGAAGTCAGCCTTATGACTGCGAAATGGAGAGAGAGTCATGTAGCAAAGGTGTGTTGGGCTCAAGTGATTCTTTTTACATTTAACAAAATTAGCACTAACCTCTTTTTTTTTATGGAGAATATGGCTTATAGATGCAAACATGGCATTTACAGAAACAGCTAATCGGCACGCTTCGGAGGAAAAGGTAAAGATAATCAAATACTACTGTATTAGAGCATCTCTATCTTCACCTTGCTCTGTAAAGTGCCTTGTTGTGAGCTGTACTAGGTGAGGTATAGTCCACACAAATAGTATTTTGTGGTACTGTAGTGTGCAGGGGGGAGCAGTCGGATAAGTCACTTGCATGATTAGTCTGTTGTCAGATTTGGTTACTAGTCCATTGTTATGATCTGAAGACCTATCTCTAGTCCACACCCCCCTGTGGAAGTTCTTGGTCTTGGCGGTGTTTCGCCAATAATGGTCTACACATATGCTTCAATTTCTGTACCTTTACATGTTTAAACTATCCTTTGTATGGAGCAATGCGAACTCTTATATGTCAGGGTATTGTCCTAGAAGTAGTATCTTGTGAACAAATCTGAAAATATAATAGGTAAGTTAGAGATAAAAATGTCTTTGCTTTAGTTACATTATGCTAACATATATTTTTCTTCTTTTTTTGTGGATACATGATCTTGTGATAACTGCGTTTGGTCTTGTTTCGACTAGAATGGTGTTTGGTAATGACTAATGACTAGTAATAAATTGGCAGCAGAAAGTTAGCTATAGGAATTTCTGCCCTCCCCTTGTTTGATTTTTTTTAAAAAAAGATACACCAACTTTTTTACAAAACCAGGTAACAAATTGAAAAATTTGACGAATCCCATTGCTTTGAATTGCCTCCAAATACAGATGGCCTATTGCAATGCCACGCATTTCAACTATGATTCATCTCTGCCATGCTAATGTGATCGAGACTAGTGTGTTTCTCATCAGGTTCTTTACCAAAGAAAAGGGGTAATGCAATAAAAAGTAAAGGAAATAATACAAATATTGAAATTAAACTAGCGCCCGGTATTAGTGTTCTTGAATGATTTGTTGGATCTGATTTTTTTTTTGTCTGTGAGGAAGATTCTGATAAAGGAATGTGCAGTGTAATATTAGTAGTTGTTTGATGCATTAACAAAACCATGTTTTGCTTGCTATGTTCGTGGCATGCCTTGTGCTGGTTCAACAGCTTATCATGTTGCTTAAGCGTACTACTTAAGTACTAGTACACTGTAGTGAAATCATTCATACTCCCTCCATCCCATAATATAAGACGCCCACGCATTTCAAGATTTCACCTTCAAAACATTTTGGTCAACATTTAGTACAATATGAATTGAATTTTACTTGCTAAAAACTATATCATTGGATTGACATTTGAATTTACTTTCATATGGTTATAATTTTGTTACTACAAATCTTATAATACATGAGAAATTATAAGACAAAGATTAGTTTTGAAGACCGTGTCAAGTTTGACCATGCCTTATATTATGGGATAAAGGGACTATCTAACAAAATCTCAAGCGAGAGATCATGGCTGACCACGCTGAAATATGGATGTTTCTGTTTTTTTTAATGCTGTACTTATATTGAAATATGTGACAGGCTGGGAGAAAGGAAGTAGGCGGAGGATGGGATCCCACGTATACAAGGAGAAATTTTTTCCCATATTGGAGATCAGTTTTACGAACCCTGTGTCCTGTGAAGGTGTATCCAGTCTATGCAAGAGCAGATGCTAATTCTGGGCGTGATCTTGAACAGATCCGTATCTTTCAGAGTAACTCAATGGCCAATCGATCTACCCGAACTCAAAATCGTATGCTTGATTCAGTGGGAAGAATCCCACCATTTGCAAACAATCATCAATCCAAAAGGAGCTTCAGCACTTGTGCTACTGGTGCATTCAGGCTCTTGAAGCTGCTGAAGTAAGTAAAGCATGAGTAGAAAAGTTATGCCCATGAGTTTTTCTTTTTTTTTTGCCAAGTTTCGTTTGATGCACCTTTAACTTGGTATTATATCCATCTTAAAATATAAGGCGTATTTTGTTCTGTTATGATAAGGTTTTGATTCGCAATTGCTTCCTTAATATATTATCTATATGACATAAAAGTATAATTATACAAAATACAAATGTACTTTTGAGGACGAATCTAATAACATTAATTTTGCTTCATAAAAGTTATATTATAATAGAGTAATTGTTGATCAAAGTCTCGTCCTAATGAAAACAATATACGTCATATATTTTGAAATGGAGAGAGTAAGGTTATTTGTTAAGTAGTTCATTAATGATTGACGAGTTGCTTATATATAGTGTTAGGTATTCTATTATTGTCTTATTTTTTGTTGTTTAAGTTTGTATGGCGCGGTGCTCTAACTTCCATATTTATGTAAAACACCTTTTGTGTAGATAACAAATATTTACGTCAAATCATCATGTTTTTGTTTTGTTTGTGCAGGTTCTATAGTTGAGAGACCAAATATTGACTTTTCTCTGAAAATTAATTCACCTGTGACAGATCTAGTGTGACAGATCTAGCATGGGGGCTCCGGTACCCTTGCCCGCTGGATCTTGAGGTAAGGGGGAAGAAGAGGGATTTGAGGAAGAAGGCAATGACCCTCCTCCATTCTCAAGCTGCATCAACCCCTGTAATTTACAATAAATATGATTCATTTTATCTGTATATAGCAAATTAATTTATAAAAAGGGTAAAAAAAAAGGAAATATTTTTTTCTTAAAAATAGATCCTTCACACCAAAAGAGGCTGGCGCCAAGGGCCTACTTATAAGAAAAGGTACTTGCGTTTGGAACATGTTTAGAAATTTTTTTCTTACAAATAAGTCCTTGGTGTCAATTTTTTTTGCGCTAACCCTATCACGTCAGCGACTTAGCTATAATATAAGGGCGCTATGGGTGGCAGTGCCAGTTGGCGCTAGTGAATCTCTTCTTCTTAAATGAAACAAGGCTCTTTCTGTACTTTTCTTAGGTTTTTCCTAAAAAAAATAACGTCGTTGTCGTCTCTTATCCAAACGTTTAACATTTCAATTTATTTAAATAATTGTGCAAATATATGAATCAGGTTTAAAGTACTTTTAATAATAAATAAATCGTAATAAAATAAATTATAATTATATTTTTAATAAGACAATATCTATTAAAAATTAGAGACGCTATGTATTAAAAATTGAAGGGAGTAACTTTTTAGAGGTGTAACCAACTGTAACCTTCCTAACAAACTTTCCATGCTTTAATTTATGTTGGATTTGAACACATTATAATTCTATTGATACAGATTTGGTTTCTAGAATCTGCTCCACATCTTTTACTTGGGCAAGTCTATATCCAAATTTTCATAGGATTCTTTCAATACCACAAAACATTTTTTTCCCATTTTTTTCATCCAAATGTATGTGTTGTTGCCCTGCACTTTTCATCATGATGCAGGCTTGGAATTATCTCCATTATCTCTTACCGTCTCATTGTTTCTCATACTCTTACGTTTATTATGCTTATTCCAACGGCTTATTAGTGATTAGAAAATAATTTATAAGTAAAATTTTATATATGTTCTTAGTGACTCAAAAGAAAATCTTGTAAAACAAACTACGATGAAAAAACCCACAAAATCACCTCCAAAATTAAGTTTTAAAAATTGAAATTTAGCTTCTAAACATGAGCAAAACAATTATGCTTTTATTATCCCTACCGATCGAGCTGTTTTAGGGTAGATCTAGTTTATTATTTTTTTACAATGGGCCATATATTTTAACCAAGGTTTCATAATGGACTAGGGTTAAATCAATGTTTTCACTTAACACCATACATCTTTACATAAGTTGGGTGAGCAAAACAAGGGAATATGTGAGAGAGCTTCATATGATTTACACAGGGATAATTATAAAAGGCAAAACATTTTATGTTTTCTTCCTTCTTTTCAGTGTGTGGTAGTTAACTGTTCTATTTCCTATTTTATTTTATTCATTTACCCCAATGTATAGATCATTTTGTGTCACTTTTAAACATGTTCACGTCATTATTTTAGTGTGATTTGCTGAAAAAAATTGTTTTCAGATTTGCTATTTTTTTTCTAAAGATATTTATCTTAATACTGTGGCACTAAAATTGATGATTTTAACTATCTTTTCTCTGACAAGTTCCTTCGATGTGCTCAACCATAGTCCAAAGTGCCAACTAGTGTAAACATATATGGTGTTTAGTGAAAAGGTTGGTGTGGACCTTGCCCATTGTGAAACTTTGGTCAAAATATATGGTGCAATGTGAAATTTACTCTATTTTTTATTATAACAGTGTAACACGTGACCTTGACCCCCCCCCCCCACCAAAAAAATAGAGAGAATTGGGAAAAAGAATAGGACCCCTTATGGATGGGTTCACAGGCCACGTGGTGGACCATCTCCACCTCCCCCACCTGCCCCCTATCTCTCTAGTGAGAAATTTTCATATCTCCTACGCATAGAAACTAGTTTCACCGAAATTTTCATGGCCTTTTACATTTGCAAATTATTTTTTCTCAATTTCAATTTCTTTTTCGCGCAGAACGATTGAGCCAGGGGTAAATACGTTTGAGAAAAGAAATTGTGAAAAAACAATTTGCAAATGCAAGAAACCATAAAAAGGTATTGCAGCGAATACTCGCGGTTTAAGAGTAATATTGTATTGAATCCCATTTTAATAATGGTATTATAGCAAAATCCGTTCTTATGGGTGGCAGATATGCAAATTTCTCTCGGGCAAGGGAAGCGAGAGGGGCAGGCCCACTGACACGTGGGGTCCACCCGCCGTGCACCGCATTTCTCCCAAGCCTTGCCGGCTTCTCTTCTCTCCCATCACACTCGAGGCCACGCCTCCACCGCCGCCACCACCTCCTCCTCCTCCTCGTCGGCGTCGCCGCCGCCGGCGTCTTCTCCACCTCCTCCGCGCCGCGCTCGCAACCACCTTCCAGGTCAGTCAGCGCGGCCGCGTTTCGTCATGCTTTTGGACCACTCTGTCGTAGCCCGTAGCCCCTAGCCCCAGTAGGCGGCAGTGGTGGAACACTCGCCGCCGCCATGATTTTTTTTTTTTTTTTTTGCTCCCGGGTAATGTGGTGCGCTGGCTAATTAAGGAGCAGTTCGAGGTTGGGGGGGAGGAGTAGCTGAAGAGTTGTTGTGTTCTAGGAAGAGGAGCGTGTGGGTGTGCAGTGCTAGTAGAAATCAGGCCACGCAGATTAGCATCCGCTGCGTTCCTGGTCTTTTAGCTTGATGATGAGCTATTGCAGCTTTGAGGAAGAGGAGGTCCCGTTTCTGTGGAAGGAAATTTCGGTTTATGGAACTGTGTTCCATGGCGTGGGATACTGGAGTGTTTGGGGGAAGATTGTGATCCAACTTTGTTTTTAGTGATGGATGTGATGTGCTCAGGCTCAGCAATTAGGAAAATACATTGTCAAGTACAGTTTGTTATTCTGCCAATTTCAAGTAAGTATGGAAGCAGATCAGAGAGACCAGGAGGTCCATGCCATTTTTTTACTTGGATTTCTCTGATTGTTGAGGAAACCAGATGGCTAGCTTTGTTTGTTCGTCAGTACAAATTCCTTCTAATTGAAAATTTTGTGGTTCTTGTTTCTGTTTGATGCAACTATCTTGCTTTCTTTCCCCTGCACATTGCATTGTACTGACCTGTTTCTTTTCATTCCATTCTGTAGATTGGATGGGACTATAACTGAAACCTTCTGTATTAAGCTTCCGCGAGGGCTCACCTGCAGAACGTGATGGTCACCATTTACTGGTGCAGCAGGCAAAAAGTTGCATGGAGCGCTACAGGCTGTACACTTTTGATTTCCCTGCTGTTCTTTTTCTCTGGTTCACCGCATAGGATCCTCTTGAACAAGAAACCTCTCAATTTCAAAACAGCACCATCTAGGTTATTGCGTGAGATTAGCATCAGTTCAAGTCGTGTTCAGAGGTAAGTTCTAAATTGAGTTTCTGTAGCCTCGTGAAGGATTACTACCCAGAGTTCTAATCTTTTGTGTTTAAAAAGGGTTAACAATTCATCCGCGGAGTTTGTTGCAAACCTGAATGACCGTAATGTAGAAATTGTACAACATATGGAAGACAACGATCATAACATCATCAATGCAACTGCAAATGTGACTTCTGACTGGAGCATTGTCAAGGAGGAATTCACATTTCCAGCTGGAAGTGCCCCTTTCAATAGCTGCCATGCTTCTACTATTGTAGAGGTATATGACTTCTGGATACAAGTTTATTTTGGGTAAAAATGTACTATAAGTTACTTATAGATTAATTTTGTCTTTTTTTAGACTGAGAAGGATAGTTTTTTGGTGGCTTATTTCGGTGGATCCAAGGAAGGTGCTCCTGATGTGAAGATCTGGCTGCAGAGATACAGTGTGGGTTCGATCATCCGGGATACTTCCATTTCTTATTTTCTTTACTCAGAAAAGCGGTTATTCTTAAGAACCTTACCTTTGTAGGATGGCTGCTGGCATACTCCACAAGTGGCTGATGAACAGGATGAGGTACCTATGTGGAATCCTGTTCTGTTTCAGCTCCCTTCTCATGAGCTTCTTCTCTTCTACAAGATTGGCCAAGAAGTTCAGAAGTATGAACATGTTTTATGTTATTTAATTTCTTATCTCTTATTCAAATGACAAAAAAACCATATGATAGTGCAAAAATTGAATGCGACTATATGATTATTTGATATTCTGATGCTCAATATAACATGTTCAGGTGGAGTGGTGCCATGAAAAGATCTCTAGATGGAGGAAAAACCTGGTCGGCAAGAGAACAGCTACCACCTGGCATCCTTGGTCCTATTAAGAATAAGGCATGTCTAAATCTGTGGTGTATTGCCTTCCATCTTAGCAAAGCACATTGTAACCATAAAATAAGGAAAATATTGTCAACCTGAATACATATGGCAGCACAATCATTATGGGTTATTAACAAGTCAGTACTCAGTAGTAATTTAATTGCCTTTCCATTGTGATTCTCAAAAGTTTATTGATTTGGTTCCTGAATGGCATTTTCTCCAATGTAGCCTTTCTTGGTTGAAGATGGGCGCTTGCTATGTGGGTCATCTGTTGAAAGCTGGAACTCTTGGGGTGCATGGCTTGAGGTATCCATTACATTGAAAATAAAAAAAATCATAGACTGAACTCATGCGTCTCACATTATGTGTAGTGGAAGTTTTAATTACTCTTATCAACTTAGGTCACAAAAGATGCCGGACGAACATGGCGGAAGTATGGCCCTATATATATTGAAGGCGAAACACTAGGGGTGATCCAGCCAGTTCCCTACATGACTGCCAATGGGACTATTCGAGTGTTGCTGCGATCTTTTGAGACAATTGGTCGTGTCTGCATGGCTGATTCTGCTGATGGGGGTGTAACATGGAGTTATGTGCACGAGACTGACCTTCCTAACCCAAACTCTGGTTTGTTCATCTCCTAGCTAAATTAGTTTTCTCTTTGCTTCAGTACCCTTGTATAGAATAGCAAATCCTCGAATGCTCATTAGTGACCACTGAGCACTGAACATCTGCTGGTGCTGGGAACACATTATTAAACAGTTTGAAGTTTCCAAAAATTTTAAGATATACTGATAGATTTCTGAAGAATATTAATAACTCTCTCTCTCGACTTCAAACCTGAAGGGATTGATGGAGTTAAGATGAAGGATGGGAGAGTACTCCTTGCTTACAACACCTTCTCCAGAGGAACACTAAAAGTTGCAGTCTCCATGGATGATGGTGATTCATGGAACGATGTAATGACATTGGAAGATACTGAAGGCATGGAGTTTTCATATCCTGCAGTGATCCAGACCATGGATGATCTCATACATATCACGTACACATACAACCGGACACAAATTAAGGTAATCTTTCTGATGCATATTCAAAAGAAAATATCGATCTTGTTTTCCATCAAGAACAGTTTTCTGCCCGTTAGTACCTTTTTTAATAGTATTATTGAATGATTCACAGCATGTTGTTCTTCAACCTAGCGGGAAAGTGAGGTGGTGAGTGTGCAACTATTGGGAGAGTTATTGCTGCCAATTGCAAGGCACGCAAGTTTTTCTCTATGTGTGTCACATCATATTGGCTGGACCGTGGTGCTAAATTGGTCATCAATGATTCTTTTTTTGGGTATATTTGGTCATTTGCATAATTTCTTGCAATTGTAACCTAATTAATAATCTCCCTGATTCCTATCAACAATGATATTGAACATCTGTACATATGCCCCAAAGTTTAACATAAGTTGTTCCGTATATGGCTGTTCTTCATGTTCATGTTGTGATAACCTAAGATATTACTACTTTAACTGAGAACTTGAGATGTCCCTTTTGCTGTGATGCAACTTCCAGAAAATAAATTATGGTTATCTTGATAAAATAATATATGTATCAAGTTTGCTTTATTTAAAAAGAAAGACTTCATTATTGGGCACCATAGTATGCTTGAATAATGATCCTCTAGAAAGCAGATCCTAAATCTTATTACATTATCATCCAGGTACTATAATCTTTAGCCTTTTATTTTCTGAATTGAGCTTTTCTTGTTAGTACCACAATGGGTTGGAATATAGTAAAATTCTTGTCTTGACTCTTAGGCCCTGTTTGGATCCTCCAGGCTATTAAATAGCCCTCCGGAATCTTGCTATTTAGGAGTATTATTAAACGTAGATTACTGAAAAAACCCATTCCATAACCCCTAGACTATTTTGCGAGACAAATCTAACGAGGTATATTAATCCATGATTTGCTACAGTGATGCTACAGTAATCATCCGCTAACCAAAACTATGAAGAAAAGGAAATGTCTATTACACCTTGATGGATTTAACAAAAACTCGGCCTCTGGTTTAGGGTTGCTAGCAGATTTTGGGTAAACAGTAGGTAACTGGGATTTTTCTCGTAACAGAGCAACAGAAACAGCATTTCATGATTATTAGTTGTTAAGGAACCATAATCATGGTCAGTATCTCAAAACCAACACTACATAAGAAAAGACAAAATTATACACACATATACAAGTTCTGAAGTTCATTGTCCCCACTGACACAGGTCACAGCAACCAACAGGGAAAAAACATTTTTTTTATAGATAGCCAACATCTTGTGAAAGGAACCTTGTATATAATAAGCACCCATGTGATTCTACAGTAAACAAAGAGTTGTGCCAGTTATATCAAGCATTTGTGAACACGGTAGGCACCATTCTCTTGTTCCTCTCTGTGAAGAGATCTTGAAATTTACATGTGAATTTGTGATCTCGTGTACTCTTTATGAAATATACTTGCAAGTTGCAAGTTACTCTGACTTGTGGCACTTGATCTCCCTATCAAATTTCTTTCTCTCTTGCTGAACTCGGGCTTGCAGTTTGACCTGCCTACTCTCAGCTCTCAGGTATGCCTCATTCCTCCTAAGATGCCATCCCAACCCTTGCTCTATGTTTTGTATGATTAGCCAATCTATCCTAAGATGCCATCCCAACCCTTGCTCTATGTTTTGTATGATTTGCCAATCTATTCTACTTATCTTATCTCTATTCCCAAATAGTAGCAATAAGTCAACAGATTGTTCCAGCTGAATTCTGCTTTTGTGAAAGATAAAAGAATATGGATGTCAAATGCTATGATGTGAAAATTTCCAGGGTCTCACTTCGATGCTGGGAATTTTTTTTAGATAATGGATGCTTCAATGCTGGGATAGAATAATCTATCTTGAATTTTATTTATGAACTTCCTTCCTGTAAGGAAACTGGAAATGCATGGGGAAAGACATACAAGTGAAACAGTGCCTACTATACCTGCATCAATAAAAACTGTAAATAGACCAGGTTGTCTTCTCTGCCTGCACAGGGGAGTAAAGACCACGGATTAATCCTTCATATCCAAGAAAAGTGTGACAGTGTGTTTGAAGGATGAAATGTTTTTTTATAAGAAAAAATCTTTGTGTACAATTATTCTCCTTTTGGCGATTCAGAAATGACCAATAAGTGGAGCGTATTGAGGGAAGAATTTACATTTTCAGAAGGCAACGTACCTTTCAAAACCTGCCATGCTTCCACAATTGTTGAGGTATATTATCATCCAAACTTTGTTCTAATTTTATTTAAATTTTCTTTTGATGGATTATCTTCTCTGTATAATGTACCTTTCCTGGTCAGGTTCAGAAGAATATGTTTCTGGTGGCCTACTTTGGGGGAACACAGGAAGGTGCTGACGATGTTAAAATTTGGCTACAGAGATATTACGTATGTTAAAGTTCCTATTTCCTGACGGATTATTGATCTTCCAGCGTATCTGTGTATTGTTATTGTTCACTTGATACACAATACATTTAACAATTTCACCTAATACAGAATGGCTCGTGGCACTCTCCTGAAGTAGTTGATGAAGTGCCCAATGTTCCTCTGTGGAACCCTGTTCTCTTCCAGCTTCCTTCTGGTGAGATCCTCCTTTTCTACAAGGTTGGCAAGACTGTCGAAAGGTGAGTGATCCATTCCCATATCTGCATTCCCAGCAATTAATACCCCAGTTAAATGTCTGCACCAACTGTTCAGCTGAATTTGACAATTTTTGTTTAGTTGGAGTGGATGCATGAAATGCTCATCGGATGGTGGTGTTATCTGGTCAAAGAGAGAGCAACTCCCACCTGGTATCCTTGGCCCTATCAAGAACAAGGTGTGTATTTGTTCCAGACTTGATCAGTATTTTGACACTGTCACATAACACTACGATTATTCTATGGACCTGCATACCTTCTCATCAACAGTGTCTCCCAATACAGCCTTTCTTGCTCAAGGATGGCCACCTGCTCTGTGGAACATCAGTTGAAAGCTGGAATTCATGGGGTGCTTGGCTTGAGGCAAGTCAGCTGTGAGCCATCAGCTGCAACTGTTCTTCAATATCTCTTGCACACCTCAAGTCAACAATGTTTCATCTTAAACAGGTCACCAAGGACCATGGTAAAACATGGAAGAAGTATGGCCCGATTTACGTAAGAGGAAAAACCATGGGAGTGATTCAGCCAGTCCTCTACCAGACCAGCAGTGGCACAATCCGCATGCTGCTGCGCCCGTCCGATGAAGTAGGTCGCATCTGCGTTGCGGAGTCCAAGGATTCTGGTGTCAACTGGAGCTATGCGCAACCAACCGAGCTCCCAAACCCCAATTCTGGTTAGTATCACCGATCATTCTGCCACAGTCAGTTCTGAATTGCAGTACATCTTCATCTGCAGCTTGTATGATGCTATCTATGTGGTGGGTGGAAAGCAGGTATCGATGGCGTTAAGCTCAAGGATGGGAGGGTGGTGCTGGTATACAACAGCACCTCAAGAGGGGTGCTCAAGGTTGCTGTTTCTCAGGATGACGGCGACAAATGGGAGGATGTGCTGACACTGGAGGAGACCCATGGTGTGGAGTTCTCATACCCTGCTGTAATTCAGACTTCTGATGGGCTGGTTCATGTGACATACACATACAAAAGGACTCAAATCAAGGTAGTTTTACCCATGTTGTTTGGTCTTCTTATGGTAATTACCAGTTTCATCATCTTCCATGTTAAGAATGAATTTCTTTTGGTCACTGCTCTTTGCAGCATGTCGTTCTACAACCAAGCGAGGTTTGATGCAGTCAGTAATCAGACATGTGGATTTGTCTCAGGAGTGAAGTTTGAACTGTAGGATTGGAATGTGGAATGTGGCAACCAAGTGCATGTCCAGTTCGTTTTTTATGGGCCTGTTCACTTTGATGCTATTTTCAACCTTACCAAATTTTGGTAAAGTTACCAAAAAAGTGGCTACATTTAGTATGCTACCAAAATTTTGGCAACTTTACTAAAATTTTGGCATTGCCAAAATTTGGTAAGGTTTTTTTTGGCATCAAAGTGAACAGGCCCTATATTTTGCCTACATGCTTGTTCAGTGTTTACTGGAATTACCCAATGACGATTGTTAATTCCTTCTTGACAATCTGGCAAACATCACTCTTGTGCTGTGTTCTAGTACGTAAATAAGTGAAAGGTGAAACTGTTGCATTTTTCAGCTATTTTCTGATTCTGATCAGCATAGCCACGTTATTTTGTCATTCAAAATAGTGATAACTCACACCCTCAAGTAGCCTTTTTTACTTATTTACCCTTGTGTTCTTTTTTTACTTATTTACCCTTGTGTTCTGTTGGAAGTGTCTATAGTTCTCAGTATTCCTTCACTTGTTTTGAATTTCTTTTCTGTTCAAATTAAACATTTAAACTAGCCTACCTCTAGACTTACCCCAGTAGAATTTCTGAGTCCCATCGAAATCTTCCTTTATCTTCTCTCCAACTCATCTATTCTTTTCCTATAAACCATCGAAGACAACCCGATCTAAACTACAATCCCAAGGAACACTATAATCATCGTGCATGCTCGCTCATTCATGAATCTTGCGTTTAAAATAGGCGCGAAACTTTAACCAAGTCTAGTAGTTTCGACCAATGTTTTAAGAGCAAGTTTAATAGTATAGCTAATTACTAGCTCCAAATCATCTATAGCCAATATAATAGCTAATTCATACAATAGTTGTTTACTATAATATTAATACATGGTTACACCTGTCATACACACATTATATCTTTACTATAATATTAATACATGGTTACATCTGTCATACACACATTATATCTTAGAGTTCGTGCTGCAGCTGGCTACAGATATGTAACCCGCTACTTTTCTCTCTCTTCTTTTATCTTTTTAAAATATGTTTATAGTTGACTTATCTGCTATTGTACCTGTTTAAAAAAGAATCCTTTAGTTTAGTCTCCTTGTTCCACTATCAACTTATAAAGAATAAAAGCTAAGCACGGTAGTTAAAAGTTCGACGTGAAGGCATTTACTGACCGCCAGGTGCTCCGCCGTCGTGTCGCACAGGCAGCGCCGGCGACCCAGATTCCCAAAACCTCGTCACCTTTCTCCGCCGCTTACCAAGAACAAGAACAACTCCCTCTATAAATCGTCCACACGTTAAACTGTCCGTGGATCTCGCCGTCGCCGGCGACATGGCCTCGTCGCAGCAGGCGGTGCGCGAGACGGGGAGGGGCAGGGCGTCGTCGTCGTCGGCCGGCGGGAGGAAGGTGACCTTCGGTTACCACCTCGTGGAGGGCAAGACGCCGCACGGCATGGAGGACCTCCACGTCGCCGAGTTCCGCCGCCTGGACGACGGCAACGAGGTCGGCCGGCCTCTTCGCCGTGTTCGACGGCCACTCCGGCGCCGCGACGTCGCCACCTACCTCCGCGAGCGCCTCTTCGACGACATCCTCCGCGAGCCCGGGTTCTGGACCGACACCGCGCCGACCGGAAGGTGCTGGTCAGGACGGCGGCGACGGCGGGTCGACGGCGGTGACGGCCATCCTGATCAACGGCGAGACGCTGGCGGTGGCGAACGTGGGGGACTCCCGCGCCGTGGCGTTCGACGTCCGCGCGGGGCGGGCGCAGCAGCTATCCGTGGACCACGAGCCGCTCCGGGAGCGCGACGCCATCGAGCACTGCGGCGGGTTCGTGACGGAGATCCACGGCGACGTGCCGCGCGTCGACGCGCAGCTGGCGACGTCGCGCGCGTTCGGCGACCGGCAGATCAAGGAGCACATCAGCTCCGACCCGAACGTGACCATCGAGGACGTCGGCGGGCGACGCCGGCGATGGTGGCACGGAGCTCGTCGTCCTCGCCAGCGACGGGGTGTGGAAGGTGATGTCGAACCAGGAGGCGGTGGAGGGGCACGGCGGACGCCTGGAAGGCGGCGGCGGAGCTCGTCGGCGAGGCGCTCGACCGGGGCAGCGAGGACGACATCGCCTGCGTCGTCGTGCGCCTCCACTGATCGGAGCATCGTGTTCGTGGCATGTGTACGACGTGTCTCGGAAATGCTACTGTGCGAGCGATCGCCCTTGCTCGCCCAGGGCGATCAAATTCGCCCCCCCCCCCTCCATCCAGTTTCTTTTTTTGGCACCGTATTACTTTTCTATTTTAGTAAATTTATACACCTAAAGTTTACAAACCAAAAGTTTATATATTCGATTCAAATTTGAATTTGAATTCAAATATTTTTATATATAGTATTTCTATATATCTAAAGTTTATAGACCTAAAGTTTATAAGTTAAAAGTTTATATACCCGTTTCAAATTTGAATTTGAATTATATCTGATTCAATTTGAATTCAAATATTTTCTATATATAGTATTTCTATACATCTAAAGTTTATACACCTAAAGTTTATACACCTAAAGTTTATAAATCAAAAGTTTGCATACCCGATTCAAATTTGAATTTGAATTCAAATATTAGTTTATAGACCTAAAGTTTTATAAGTCAAAAGTTTACAAACCCGTTTCAAATTTGAATTTAAATTTAAATATTTTTATATATAGTATTTTCTATACATAATTTTTTTTCAACTTTGTTTTTTTATTTTTTTAAAAAAATTATGATGTAGTAGGAAGAGAAGAAGGGGAGGAGGAAGGAAAAGAGTAGTGTATAGAGGGGAGGGGGCGATCACCCGCCCATTAGCACCCCCGACGTGTCTTGTCAGATCGTGATTTGCTCTGACGCGCCAAATGCTAAAAAGCTCAGAAATATTTCAATTTTCATGCGAGATTTCAGAATTTTTCTTACAGCGATTGGCAGAATAGAGAAACAACATACTGGAAAATTGAAGTCAAAACTCAAAGTCGCTCTGAATTCTTATGTTTTGACTTCAATTCAGAATGTTTCTTACAGCGATTGGCAGAATACGCAATCTGTATCCATGGAGCCTCCATGGAACATAGGAATTTTCATGTTCACAGTTCACACGTCCATTACTTTGAAATTCCTCCATTCAAAGAGGTCTGACTCGACGAGGACTTGTAATATTGTGGTATGATGTTTGAGATAGATTTCAGCTCAAGATGTTTGAGATAGATTTCAGCTCAAGTAAAACGAGAAAATGATTAGTTCGGTTCATTAAGTTTTAAATTTTACAAAAAAAATATATAATTAATATTCTAAAAGAATTTTTTAAAAGAATATCATTTAATATTCTTAAATATGCTGAAAGATATGTACTTAATAATGCAATAGCAAGGGGAGTGGTTGGAGTGGTTTAAACACGTTTAAAATTTCTTGTTATAATGTATTTGGAGTGAATTCTCTCTCAAAATCTTTTTTTTCTATAACGGATTATAAACGTGCTAACAAAAATAGGAATAAGGATGTAATCTGCATCTGAAACGAACGGGCCTCGATTCTAAGCCAGGCCGAAACAAAGACCGGGTTGACATGGGCTTCCCTCAAGGCCCAACAGAACAAAGGAGGCCCGTTCAGGCCCGGCCCACGCCAGCAGCGAGAACCTTCCCCAAAAACCGTAGAACCATAACCCGCAGAAGGCAAAGCCAGAAGAGACGACGCAGCAGACGCCGCCGCCGTCGTTCACGAGACCCATTTCGCCACCCACCCGTGCTCTCCCTCCTCTCCTCGTGCTCGTGGTGGGTAGGGGGACTAGGATACTGCTAGGGTTTTGCGAGCCATGGCGTGGACCGCCGCCGCAGCCACCGTCACCAGGGCCGCCGCAACGCCGGCCGCGGAGCTCCGCCTGCCGCTCGCCGCCGGCCTCGGCCGCGCCTCCTTCGCCGTCACCGGCCGTCTCCGCCGCGCTGTCTCCGCGTCCCTCTCCACCGCCGCGGCCGCCGGTACGCATCTTCTTCTTCTCGAGGTAGCATTCCGTTCGCCTACTGGGACTGGGGAGGGAGTCCTGCTTTGTTCTGGCCAAGAAGAGGGCGTAGTAGTTGGGGATTTTGTTTGTGGCCTTGTGGGGGTGTTCTCTCTTTCATTTCAACTATATCCCTGTAAAAATGCTCAAAATATCGCATTTCTAGATTGTTATATAATCGATTAGAGGCAGCCTTCAGATTTTTGACAAGGCAAGCTTTTGGATTGGATTCGTTTGTTTTGTTCACATAACAAAAAATATTGCCAAAATGCAGGGTTTTCTCTTATTTGTGGATGTAGATTTGAGTCGCTAATAATTACTAGTATACTGGTTAATCTCTATTGAGAGGGCAGAAATTCAGTGTGGTTTAACGTCTACATCTGATGTACTAAAAGCGAGCGTGATTGGCTAGCGCATTGGGAGTGCGAGCTTAGTCAGTTAACCACAAAAAGTTTACATATTCATGATTCGTGAACCACTGGTTTGGCTGGGCTGATAGTGCGCCTGATGGCAGCAATAGATAACTAGTGTATTGCTTAAACAAATCACACAAAATAGTGTCCATTTGCATTGATGCTGTTCAAGCATATGGTTATACTCCTCCGCTTGTAAATATTTGAAGCTTAGGGGTAGATTTGGTTAAACACTTGAAACTTTGACCTATCAACAACTTCTTGGCTGCTTAGTTTAAAAGCATTTACTTTAATAACTTCTCAAACTTGTGACCGGAGGGATTTTTTTTATTATTATTATTTTTTATTTTGAGAACAGACTGGAGGGAGTAGCTCGCAATTTACTTGAACAAAGGCTTTGTCATATGCCTTTTAACTACAAAAGTATTAAATGACTTCCAAATGCAGGGATTTTGAATAATCAGTAAGGCAAGCTCACATGATATGATTAGGTATTTCATATCGACAAGCAATTGCCAAGTTGACTAAATAACTAAAATTGTTCGTCAGTCTCTCTTGATTACTTGTTGGGTTTCCTAATGGTGTTTGCCTACTCAATTACTGCTTTAATAGAATAGGATTTTTCGGGCATGCTATAAGTCTATAACAATGGTTCTCAAATATTATAATTAGTTAAAAAGGAGGCTGTTCAGACAGAGAAGGCCCCGGCAGCATTAGGCCCGTATTCTCAGGCCATCAAAGCCAACAATATGGTCTTTGTCTCTGGAGTTCTTGGCCTAAACCCTGAGGTTTGTCCCTCAACATATGTTTTGTGATCCTTCACGTATCTCTGCATCATAAATGTATGCCACTTTGCTGGTTTTAGGTGCCAGTATAACTGATATAGAGTAACTTCTGTCTCCAGACTGGAAAGTTTGTATCTGAAAGCGTGGAGGAGCAAACTGAACAGGTTAACACTTTGACCTTCATTTATGTTCTGTGTAGTTTTGAGCTCTAGGAATTTCTTGCAGAATGTGGATGGAATGGTTAATAGTGCACCTACTGCAAAATATAAATTTTCTGAGTTGTTCCCAGTATCCGCATCCATTTTTGAAGTTTCCCATATTCTATATTGAAGTTTGTGCTGACTTTTATTTGACTTATACTGAGGATGTGTTTGTGTTTTGGTAATTTCTATGGAAAGAATTTGCATGTTAGGTTAGTGTTTATATGAAAGTGTCTGCAACAAATTCGAATGGTGGTCCAGACTCCGCATCATAAATCCTGTTTTTCCTGCATGCCTCTCCATAGCTGCCTTTGCCTTCAATAAAACAGTTGATTTTATCAATGCAATTTTCGGAAGATGCTCTTTCTTACATCATGTTTGTGTTTCTCGTCTGTCACAGGTTATGAAGAATATGGGTGAAATATTGAAAGCAAGTGGTGCTAGCTACTCTTCAGTTGTCAAGACAACAATCATGTATTTACCTGTTCTTTAAATGAAACTTTGTTTTGCTCTAAGTTATTATGATCTCTGTGACGGAAATTTTCTTCTATCTGCAGGTTGGCTGATCTACAAGATTTCAAGAAAGTGAATGAGATCTATGCCAAATGTAAGCTCAAAAACTTTGTTCGTCCTTAGTAGTACTACCTTTTATTTGGCCTAAGTTTAGTGACATTCTTGAAACGCATTCATGCTAATGTTTATATGTTCAATATTTTTGCCGTGATCTCTATATTTTGCTTCTGAAGAATTTTGCAATTCTTACTTGCAGATTTTCCAGCTCCTGCACCAGCACGCTCAACTTACCAAGTAGCAGCTCTGCCGCTGAACGCCAGAATCGAGATCGAGTGCATTGCTGCTCTCTAGTTACCTGCTACTGTCTATCAATCAAATTGCCAATAAGCATTCTGTGGTGCCGTTCTAGTTGGTCACTATCCTGGAAGAATGCACTGCCATTCTGAACCTGATCTTGTAGTACCAATTAAGATCTTGAACTGCCTGCAATAAACGTTGATGCCCAGGAAAAAAGAAGTCCCATCTGTTGTCCAAGGGTTCCCTTTAATCTCCATCATGAATTGATCATCCCAATGGCTCACAGTGCTATGTTGCAGAGGTCTCCTGCTGCAATATCTGCAAGAATTGGTCTTGCCAAGCGTCATGAGTCTAATAAATCATTAAAAGGTTTATCAACATGATGTATCTCCATGTTACTATCACATATCCACATATTGACACCAACTGAGTCTGACCTGGCATCTAGTATGTTTATATTAATTTATCCCACTCAACGCAATTCGGCTGTCTAGTTGGCGAGACAGCGATTATCGAGTAGATAACGTATGAAAGATGAGTTTACACTGGCTTCTTCCATTAAGAAATGACTAGCAAAATCTACAGTGCATTTCTTTATACCGGAAGCTCAAAATTTTCTACTGATATTTATATATTAATCTCAATTTGGTCGTCCTTCCAACCAAGCACACCCTTACACTCCCATTCGTTGCACCGTCACATTTCTTATTCTATAAATCGCGACAAAAAGGTTGGCAAAGGGTGTTCATATTTCCCAAATTGATTTTGTGCACGTCCTATTCTCATCCCAGGAAGCATGATGGCAACATGAAGCCAGGATAAACTGGCTTTATTTCTTAATAATAATAAAAATAGGTTATATCTTCGGCCTCTACCATTAGACACACAGCGGTCGAGTCATTATGATTTTTTTTTTGTTTTGCATGATTTGTAGTAGCAAAAGCACATTGGTTTGTCAGCTTATCTATTCCCAGTTCGACCCAGCTTCGCGTAGGAGACACGTGAGGCGGCGGCCACTTCTGAGAAGGTTATGGGAAGCTTCCGTGCGGCTGCAGAGGCTGTTTAATTGTGGGGGTGACAACACTGTGATGCTTTCGTGTAACGATAATGTCGACACCTTAATGACATTTTTACTGGATTAGTTATTCATCCCAGGGATATATATTTTCTTTTCTGAGAAATTCTATGGTACAGTTCACAAATCACAGACTCACACACTTTCTTTGTTGGGACCGTTTGGAACGTAGTAATAATTTGTAAAAGAGATACTCCTTACAATCTTACTTGTCTAGTTTTATACTAAGGCCCTATTTAGTTCTCAAAACAAAAATTTTCACCCAATCACATCGAATATTTGGACATATGCATGGAGTATTAAATATAGACAAAAAAACCAATTACACAGATTATGTGTAAATTGCGAGACAAATCTTTTAAGCCTAATTACGCTAATTTTGACAATATGGTGCTACAGTAACTATTTACTAATGATAGATTAATTAGGTTTAATAAATTCGTCTCACAGTTTTCAGGCAGAATCTGTAATTTGTTTTGTTATTAGACAACATTTAATACTTCAGATGTATATCCGTATATCCGATGTGACATCCTAAAACAAAATTTTTTTGCCAACAAAACCGGGCCTAAGTCAAACATTTTGAATGAGGTTCTTCTCCCATTTTACAGTACTTGTCGTTTATAATTTTGTAGTAAGTCAGACATTTGTTTGACCATTAATTTTTAAAAATTTGTATAGTTTAATAATACAAGTCATATATTTTTAAGATTTACCATGACAAATAATTTTATAATAATATAATTCACATGTTATTTAACTATACGAGTTTCCAAAGATCAATAATCAAAGTTACACATGTTTAGCTTAGGAAAAAATAAAGCGATGAACATTTGAAATGGTAAAAACTCATATAGTCCAACGAACCCCCCCCCCCCCCCCTTCTTTTATTATTTCTGTGTAGATTTCATTTCCTTGGTTTTGCACGGCAGGAAATTAAGGTGTGACAAAAAAAAAACATGGTATCCTGGCCCAAATTGATTAAGCACATTTTGAGAGGTATCACAATTCCATTAATCATCCTATTTCGTGGCTAGTTGACGATATTTTATAATCCATTCTTTATTCTCCGTGGCCAGCTGTTGTTTGCAAGCTTATCCTTTCCTTTTAAGAAAAGTATACTACTAATTAGCGTGGCTGCTTGGCACAATACTGATCAAATGCAACTGCAAGACCTACTCCGTTTGCTAAGTCAAGGTTGTTAATTATATTTGCAGCATATTGTTTGGGAAACCATGTGCCCATAGGTCGTGTAAACTAGTCAAATTAAAAGTTTAAACCATGCAAGAGCTTGGGAGTTATCAGATCAGATCATTGTCCATATTTAACATCCTCGTGACAGATATTAACAGTTGACCTCTTTTGTTAATTTGTTTCAGCAACCTAGCTAGCTAGAGCTCTCCTTTGTTATTTATGTCTTCACTTGTAGTACAAAACTTACCTGCAGATTTTTCACGTGAGGATATTTGATCATGACGACGTACGTGGTTTCTGAATTAAGCTGCATCTTGTACTATATACAAGCTAACATAATATTTACTCTCTATATATGTTTCCAAATGTGTTAGATGTGTTAGAATGAGTATAGTCCAACTTTGAAATTTTAGATCACTAATATAGTATGTAAGTACTCCCTCCTTTCAAGTTATAACACGTTTTAACTTTGGTCAAAGTCAAGCTGTTTCAAGTTTGACTAAATTTATAGACAAATATAGTAATATTTATAATACTAAATTAGTTTCATCAAATCAATAATCGAATATATTTTCATAATAAGTTTGTTTTGGGTTGAAAATGTTATCGTTTTTTCTGCAAACTTGATCAAACTTAAAGCAGTTTGACTTTGACCAAAGTCAAAAGGTCTTATAACCTAAAACGAATGGAGTATTAAAGAAATTAATATTCAGATTTATTAATATGTAAAAACGACGCTAATATATTTGTCAATAAAAACACATTCATATGGTTATATCTTTAGTTAATGTTTTTATAAATATATTAAAAATATTAAAACATGAATATTGCAGACACCGAATGTTCTGAACGATGAGTATAAAACAGAGATAGTAATAGTACATTGACGGAGCGCGGGGCTCCTCACCGGGAGACCGCACAGGCCCCCCTTTGCCGGTTCGGCCGGGGGCTCAGGGTGAGATCCCAAGCTCTCTCTGTATGTGGAAAGATCGCGACCTATCGAAAGAGCATGAAACACAAGCGATGTATACAGGTTCGGGCCGCTGAGAAGCGTAATACCCTACTCCTGTGTTTTGGTGGATCTGAGTATCAAGGAGCTACAAAGTGTGAGCCAACCTCTCCCTTGTTCTCTCTTCTTCTCCCTCCTGAATCTAGAAAAAGATCCTCCTTTTATACTTCAAGGGGATACCACATGCACCCCTCTCTTTCCAAACTGGACTTTTCTTCTCTTCATAAATGGACGGAGATTTGCACGGTTGTCCTCCGAACATCCTCCTGACGGGACGGCACACACCTACCTCCACTTCTGCCGGAGGCAGGCGTGTCGTGGGAATGTGGCTGTGTGCTGACGACATGGGCAGTGTCAGACCGGTCACAAATCAGTCATTCTTGTCTACCACGCGTCAGCTTAGCAACGTGCATGTTTGCCCTTCTTCACACAACATCTTGCCTGTAATGGTTAGGATGAAGCCTGGCATATATCGACCGGGGCTAACGTGCCATCTCTGGGATGTAACACGCTAGCTCCAGCTGGGGACGAGTGCCTAGAAGCTCTCGTCTTGACGGGATGGGGCGAAGCGTGCGTCAGACCGCCTGTCGCCACCTAACCCGCGATCTGACCGGTCTGTGACTGGTCACAGACCGGATAAACGAGTGCACTGCACTGCACTTCGTGCGGTGTGACACGTTTAGCCGAGGCGCAATAAATGCGGTTAGGTGAGCCCCGCTGTGCTCACCTAACCCATACACGCGGAGTAGAAACCGCGAGGGGTCGGGGCGCCTCGGCCCTCTGGGGCGAGGCAGGAGTGGTCCGACCCCCCCCCCTCGGGGAGACCAAGAGGTGGGCGCACTCATCACCCTCGGGCCCGACGTCCCCCGAGGGTGCCAGGCCACGTGGGTGATTGTGTCTGCCTCAAGCCTCTAGTCATGATACTCCCGGTCCCATGTCACCGACAGTAGCCCCCGGCGTTATGCCAGGGCAATCGCCCTTTTCAAGGGGAGCGGTCGGGCGTGACGCCACTCCTAAAGCCTGGTGACAAGTGGGACCGGTCTCTACAAATAGGCAGAAACCCAACGGTCACAAACTGCGCACATCGGCAATGGTAACTCGGCTGTCAGCAATGAGCGGTCTCTTCAAGACTGCCACATTACTCGAGTAGCACACGAATCTGGACGAGCCGATTCGCTTTGCCAGGAGATATGTGATGGCGCTTCGGTCGGCGAGCGCAATCAACGCGCGCACGATATGATCTATCTTGACTGCCACAACCGCATATCCACCTCACGCGCCGCAAGCGGGCGAATGGGATTAGTGGAAGCGTGGGCGCGAGAGACGAGGGGGCGCAATAGTGGGCGCGAGAAACGAGGAGCCGGGCACAGCGTTGGCAAGGGTATAAAGGCACTGAGGAAGGGATTTGTTTCTTTCCTTTCGCCATCATTCCCCTTGTCTTCGCCGCTTGCGCCCTAACTCCTTCTTCCCTGCGCCCTTCTTTCGCCACACGCGCTCGCTCTCCATCTTCTCTTCGTCCGGCGCCATGGCACGGGGCTCCGCACTGCTTGATGGTAGCGTGCTGCCGCCTTCCCGCATGGTGAGCGAGAAGCAGGCTGGGTTGCCGCGCCGCTTCATGCCGGAATCTGCCACCGGCCGTGAGATAGTCATGCTGGGCGAGGGACGCCCAGCGCCAGACTACCCGGGACGGTCCGTCTTCTTTCTCCCCTTTGCAATGGCAGGGCTGGTTCCGCCATTTTCTTCTTTCTTCATGGATGTCCTGGAGTTCTACGATCTCCAGATGGCGCACCTTACCCCCAACGCAGTGATGACATTAGCCATCTTTGCGCACCTGTGCGAGATGTTCATTGGGGTGCGCCCATCTCTTCGGCTGTTCTGGTGGTTCTTCACCGTGCAGTCGGTATCGCCACCGTCGGTGGTCGGCGGCTGCTACTTCCTGCCGCGGGGGCCGGTGTTGAACCGCTACATCCCCTGCGTCCTCCGCAAGAAGTGGGATGACTGGAAGAGCGACTGGTTTTACACCCCCCCCCCCCCGCCGACGAAGCGCGCCTCCGACTTCCGAGTCAGCCCCCGGCGCAGGCCTCCAGCTGGCGGGCGCCG